GATGCGCGCGCGCGTGTGTGTGTGTGTATGTGTGTGTGTGTGTGGGGGGGGGGGTGGAGAGCAGGGCGAGAGGGGAGCCAGGGGATGCATGCTCCGCAGGGCGCGGGCGGCTCTGGCAGGCATGGCGCGCACGTCCCGCTGGGGGCCGCGTGCAGCAGCAGCCCATGCACGCACAGCGCATGTGTGCGCCAGCAGCACATGCGTGCACGGCGCACGCGTGCGGCGGCAACAGGGAAGAAAGGAGGCGCGTGCCTGGTTGAAGTCCAGTGCATCCAGAAGGTCGTTCAGCTTGCGGTTCTTCTGGTCCTCATTCAGCATCACATAGTGCTGCACCAGGCCGTGCAGCGTCAGCTTGGCCTCGTCGTCCACGTAGATCTCCATGGGCTGCGGTACGGGTGGGCGGGGCAGGCGGTACGGGTGGCGCCGGGGAGGGGCGGGGCAGCGTGGCGCGCCATGGTCGGTGGCGCGCCAGGGGCCGGTAGCGAGGTGGGGAGGAGGAATGCGGGCGTGTGTTGGGCGACGAGGAAGGTAGAGAGAAGGTGGAGAGAAGGTGGAGGGAGGAGGGAGGGAAAGGGGCTGGCGGGGCGGGCCAGCAGAAGCAGGCGGGGGAGGGGGACCACGCACGCGGCGGGGCCAGGGGGGCAGCAGGCAGGAGCACGGGTCAGCGGCAGCGTGGCCGGCGTCGGGCGCGGGGTGGGGGCGGTCCGCTTGGTGCCGGGCGCCCGAGGCGGCACCGCCATCAGGCCCGCCTCTCCTCTCCGCGGCCTCCAGCCTCCACCACGGCTGACACAGCCCGCCAGCCGGGCGTCAGCCCGGCATCCAGCTGGCCTGGCGGCCGGCTGGCGCCAGCGTGGCTGCTGCTGAGCCTCCACCACCTGACGGCACCCGCCTCCAGCCCAGCCTCTGGCTGTCCCGCCAGCTGAGACTGGACAGGCGGGCTGGGGCTGGCCCGCCGGCGCCCCAGCTGCCATGGACTCCGTCTGGCAGCGCGCCGCCCATGCGCTGGCCACACTGCAAGGTGCCCGCCCCCCTCAGCTGCGGCGGCGGGGGCGGCGGCGGCGGCGGCACGGGTGCAAGAGTGGCGGGTGCAGGGGGCGGTACGGCCCGGCGGTACGCACGTCGCGCATGAACTTCTTGCACACGGGGCGGATTTCCGAGGAAAGGGTGGCCGAAAACATCATGACCTGCTTGTCGTGGGGGGTCTTCTTGAAGATGGCCTGCAGGGCGGGGGGAGGGGGCAGGCGGGCCCCGGGAAGGTGAGGGGCAGGATGAGGATGAGGAAAGTGCAGCGGCAGAGGCGCCACGCGCTGGCTGGGCGAGTGCCGAGGCAGGTGCAGGGCTGCCAGGCTGCCGCCCGGACAACGCAGCTGCCTGCAAACGCTGCAGACGCACGAGCCACGCTCGGCATGCACACACACGCGCGCGCACACGCACACCACCACCAAGCGCGCACGCCATCGGGTGCGCGCGCACACCCGCGGCCGCGCCCCCGCCCACCTGCACGTCTGCGCGCATGTCGATGTTCTCCAGGCACTTGTCGCACTCGTCCACCACAAAGTGCCGCACGTGGCTCATGTCCAGATTCTTCTCGTCGGCCAGCTGCGGGGGGCGAAGCAGGGGAGCAAGGGAGGGCGGGGACGGGGGCGGGTGGCAACGGTGAGGCGGGGCAAGACAGGGGGCGAGGGGAGGCGCAAGCAGTGAGGTGTGTACGTTTTCGTGGGCAAGTTGCCGGCTGCGATGGGTTTGTGGCCCAGGCGCGGCCGCAGGCAGGCGCGCCCCCAGTCAGAGCAGGCGGGGGAGGGGCCCCCTGGCCGCCGTGCTCACCCCCTTGACACGCCCGGGCGTGCCCACAATGACGTGCGGGCACTTGTCTTTGTCCTTGAGCTGCTCCCGCTGCTGCTTGATGGGCAGGCCGCCGAAGAAGTTGCCCACGCGCACATTCTGCGGCAAGCGGAGCATGGGAGGGAGGCGCGGCAGCGGCCGATCAGAATGGCAGCACGCGCACGCGGGCGGGAGCGGGCAGGGGTGCAGTGGGGGCCGGGGTCGAGTGGTAGCGGGGCGGCGCAGCGCAGCCAGAGCAGATGGGAGAGGAAGGGTAAAGCAGGGGGAGGGAAGGAGGTGGGGGCCAGGGGTGGGGCAAAGAAGGTGAACGGTAGGCGACGGATGCAGAGAAGAGCAGGGGTTTGGGTATGTTTTAAGGGGTTTCAAGCCCCCCCGCGCCGCACCTTCATGTATGTGGTGAACCGCTCGTACTCGTGGCAGATCTGGAATGCGAGCTCGCGGGTGTGGCACAGCACCACCACAGACACCTGCGGGGGCAGAGGGCACGAGGGCAGAGGGCAGACGGGATACGAGACGGGTGGGACGGGGGTGAGCGGCGCAGGGGAAACCACCAGGCCAGCCGGCCGTCGTGTTTCGGCTGCTGCAGCGGCTGCGTCGCGGCCCTGGCGGGCGGCTCCAGCGCGCGGCGGCGCCGGGTGCCACAAGTTGCTGCCATCCAGGCCTGCGCACGTGAAGCACCGCAGCTGAGCCGCCGCCCCACCTGGCCATCCACGGGCTCCAGCTGCTGCAGGGTGGAGATGACAAACACGGCTGTCTTGCCCATGCCCGACTTGGCCTGGCAGATGACGTCCATGCCCAGGATGGCCTGTGGGATGCACTCGTGTTGCACTGCACAGGAGGGGAGGCGCCGGGGAGGGGCAGGCGGAAGGATGGGGGGAAGAGCTCGCCGGCTGAAGAAGCCCACTCTTGCTTGCCGGCTGGTGGTGCAGGAAGGCCGGGATTCTGGGGACGGAAGAGCAGCTGAGGCGCCCGGCACGGTGTTCCCCCGCCGCTGCCACAGCTGCGGCCGGGGAAGCACGCACGCACGCCGCCGCACCTTCCGATGGGTGCTCAAAGCCGCAGTCCTGGATGGCACGCAGCAACTCGGGCTTCAGCAGGAAGTCCTTAAAGCCGCTGCTGTGGATGCCCACATAGCCCTTCTTGACCTGCGCCGCGATAAAGGCAGCAGTGGTGGGGTGGCGGCAAGGCGGCCAGAGGCGGCGGGAGCGGAGCGGTGGGGGCCCCAGCCGCCTCCAGGGGCTCGGCAGCGCCCTCTACAGCTCCCCGATTCCCATGCACATGCGTGGCCTGCGTCCAGGAAGCCCGATTGCCGCCGCCCCCACGAGCCCAGGCATCTCACCGCTCCCTCGGCCGCCTTTCCGGCCTCAGCTGCCTGGGCCTCATCATCCGCCTCCTCGTAGTCGAGGAGCTGCGGTCAGGGACGAGAAGAACAGCGGCAGAAGTGAGCCCTCGCACATGCCAGCCTGCACCGTGATCGTGGCCTCCGGAGCCGGCAAACGACAGGTGCGCACCTCCTCCTCGCCGGCAGGGGGGTAAGGGGGCGGCACCATCGCTGCCAGCTGCAGAAGGCCCTGCGAAGTGGTGCTTGAGCGACGATGCGGGCTACTGCACACACTCGGGGCTCGGTGGCTGCGTGGGAGGGGGAGGAGTGGGCCACGCGGGGCTGGAATTGACTTTTCAGGGGAGGTCCCCCGTACGGGCAGTACACCTTTTCTGCATTTCGGTTCCCAGGGCTTGTGGCCGACAGTGTCTGCTTTCGATTCATGCGGATTCCATTCTGGGGTCTCATCGCCTGCCCAACAGTAGTTCCGGCTGTCGCAGTCAACGCAGCTTCTTGCAGCCGCCTGTGAGCGCCATGGCGTCGGTGCTGTACGCAGGTGGCGCAGAGGAGGCCCAGACACAAGGGCTCGGGCTCAGCGGCATCTTCAACAGGTGCTCTCCATGCCCCGCATGTCGGTAGCGTGCTCCAGAGCTGCACCAGAGCTATCCGCGGACACCGCCTGGCTGCGTGCAGGAAGAAGCCCCGGGGGGCCAGCAGTGTGTTTGAGGCGGAGCAGCAGCAGGCGGAGGATGCGCTGGATGCCTTTCAGGCCGTGCCTGCCAGCCGGGGCGGCGTGCTGAGTCACAGGGGTCAGCCTGCAGGCGCCTCCCAGGCTGCTGCAGCAGAGGTCGAGGCGGCGACCGCGTCGGCGGCAGAGGCAGACGACGAGGCGCGGCGCCTGCAGGCGCAGTGCGAGCAGCAGGCCGCTGAGCTGGCGGCTGTGCGGGAGCAGGCGCGGCGCTCCGAGCGCGAGGCACGGTGCACCCTCAACCTCCAACGGTTCAAGTATGAGCTTCTTTTGGACCTGGTGAGAAGCCTTGCTTTACTGATTCTCAGCCAGTGGCAAGGCGGGCCGATTGCCAGGCATGCGGGCAAGAGGTTTCCGAAAACTGCCCATCCACCACCCACCCCTCTTGCAGTGGTGCATGCGGGTGCTGGACAATGAGGAGCTGGGGCTGCAGGCCGACACGGCGGCGGCATCAGCTAGGGGCCGGGCGTGAGAGCAGGGCGCCCCAGAAGGAGTGCCTCCCTGCCTCCTTTCCTGGCACTGCTTGCCGGCCCTGCCTCACCGCCAACCCGTGCTAACCCACTCCTCTCAGCTAACCCACTCCTCTCAGCTGACCCACTCCTCTCAGCTGGCTGTCGCTGGTTGTTGTGTTACAATGCTGCCAAGAAACAGTTCCGCTATCACAAGCCAACTTGTGTGCTCTGCTGGGCTCGCCTCACCGGCTAGGCTTGCACGGCCCGTGTGATCACACGGTGGCCCCCAGCTGCTCCATGGAGCCCCAGCAGAGCTCCTCAGCCTCCAGCGGCCTGTGCATCCATGCATGCCCCGCATGGCTCAGGCCCACCACTGCAGCAAGCGCGCGGCGTGTGGTGCGCGCAGCAGTGGGTGGATCACCGGGGCAGGGGAGGGGTATGGACGCCAGTCGGCACGGGAAGCATGTGGGTTGGGTGCAAGCCCACGGTGTCAGAAATGGCAGGGCGTTGTGTGTGAGCGTATCTACCCCTGCAAATAGCCAGATTGAAGGGCACTGCTCGAAAACATCACGTACCTGGGTGGAGCTGGAGGATGCTGCTCAGTTGCCTCCGCCGTTCGGTGCACCGGCTGCCGTGGTTGGCGGCCGTGGGAGCCGGCACCGCCTGAGCCCCCGCTGCCGCCCACACAGCCACCACGCACAGCTGGAAGCCAGCCCGCAGCGTGCTGGCGGTGCTGGCGGCGGGGCTGTCTGCACCGCCCGCCTGCTGCCGCTCCCACAGGCTGCAGGGGAGGCACATGAGGCAGTATGGCCGGATGAATGGATCATCTGCGACGGGGGGAGGGATCCCAGGGCCGCTGAGGGTCTCAGTGGCACTCAGCAATCCGCACCTGAAGAAAGCCGCCGCCAGCTCAGCATCGTCCAGGATAGCAGGGAAGGCGGCAAGCACCGGGTCGGCCACAGGCGCCAGCGTGGCACCGCCCTGCATGCCACCACGCTCCAGCACGTCAGCACAGCGCAGCATAGCATGGCATGATCATCCTCAGCACCAAGGTGGCAGGGGCCCAACCCCCTCTCAGCAACATCTTGCGCTGAGCCAGCTCGAGCACACACCTCCGGCGCACCCGCCGCCTCTGCCAGAAGCTGGCGGTACAGTCCCACAGCGCCAGCCAGCGGCAGGGATGCCACTGCCGCTGCTGGCAGCAGCAGTGCCGCCAAGTCATTGCAGGGCACAGGGCACAGCTTGATCGGCAGGCTGGAGCCGGCGCCGCCACTGCCAGTGCAGCTGGTTTTCTGCGGACCATGTTGGCACACAGCAGGGCAAGCAGCATGGTATATGTTGTGTTACAGTCCCCCCGCTATGATAGGCCGCATGAGCAGACCTGGGGCAAGAGGCAAACGTGTCGAGGGACATGTTGGTGCAGAGCAGGATATGCAGCATGGTACCGCACCACGCATGGTACCGCAGCATGGCAGCAGCGCACCCATGTGTTCCGTGCGCATGCATTGTTCCTTGGAGGTGCTGGGCAAGGGCAACATGTGAAGCGCAGGCGCAGCAGCGTACCAAAGGGCTGTGATTGCCCACCTACCTGCTTGGCCTGGCCAGGGCCGCCAGCCGCACGGACAGCCGTGGCCTGGCACTCCCGCAGGCCGCGCCGCAGCGTCAGCCGCCCGCCGCACAGCGGCACGTGCAGGCTGCGCGCCTCGTGCAGGCTGGGCAGCGTGGCGAGGCTGACCAGCGCCCAGGCCACGCACACCTCGTCCACCTGACGCGCGGCCTGCCGCGGGCTGCGTGGCAGCCGCTGCGCCTCCTCTGCCCGCAGCTCGTGGCTCACATTAAACTCTATGTAGATCTGCAGTGGTAGAGGCAGGCATGGCCCAACAGGTGGACAATGGCGGCAGGGATTAGCGGGGCGTGGGGCAGGGCAGCAGAGAGGGAGGGCAAGCCATTCAGTGGTGCACTGGCGGTGTGTGTTGCTGAGAGTGCAGGTCAGCCCCCCCCGCCACACACACACCTGCATCGTCTTCAGACGTTCCAGGGGGCAGCGGATGAGCAGCGAGGCGGCATCAAAGGTCCAGGCGTTGCCGTGGCGGCCGGGCTTCACATGCCGCGGCTCCACAGCCTGCGCGCACCACCACATGCGCAGCTGGCTCCGGCTGCCGGCAGCGCGCCGGTCAGGCAGGCTGGCAGCCGCGCAGCAGGCGGGCAGGGACCGCCGCCCAGGCGCCATGCATGGCATAAATAAGTCTGGCATCACGGCCCAGAGGATGCCGTCAATGTGTGGGCCTCCATGCTTGCCTGCACATTGCCGTGGAAGCGGCGTCCGTCGTACAGACAGAGGCGCACCACGTGGCGGCACGGCCTGCGCTCCGCCACGCCTGCACGGCAGGGTCGGCGAGCAGGCTTGGCAGCATGGAGCTGCAATAGGAAAGGGATCCCCTGCCACACCTCCTTTCACCACTCAGATGGGAGGCGCGCGCTTCACCATGCATTGCAGCTGGATGGCACAGGCGCGAGGCGGCGACAGGCGGCTCACTGGAACGGCACCCACCCGAGTGCGGCAGCCCCTTGACTGTGCCCAAAGACAGGTAGCACTGCGCGGCTGCGGTGGGCAACAGCTGGCCCGCACGGCCGGTGGGCAGGCCTGTGAGCCGCGTGCCGCACGGCGCCAGGACGGGGCGGCAGAGCGAGGAGGGCGCACGCGGGCCGCAGCTGTTGCCGTGCAGTGGCTGCAGGGCTGAGGGCCGCGCGGTGGGGCCCAGCGTCCCCAGACCATTCATGTAGGCCTGAGGGTCGGGACACAGGGCCCTACGCACACGCTGCCAGGGCAGCAGCGGCGGCGGCAGCAGCGCCCGGCGGGTGGGGCTGGCGGGAGGCGGCGGCGGGTTGGCGGCCTTGGAGGCGGGGTCCGCCGGCCGCCGCTCAAATGCGGGAAAGGGGTGTGTGGCGCTGTCTGACTGTCTCTGACGCGCCCCCGGCATCCAGGCGGGCATTTGTGGCATGTTGCGTGGCGAAACGGCAGCAAGCGACTGGCGCCCCGGCTGCTGTGTCGCAATGGCGTAGACAACTCTGGGATTTGGGTGGGCGGCTGAGTCAATTCAGGACGTGCCGGGCAAAAGAGGCTCTAAAAATCCAAGAAGAGCTGCGCCAGGCAGGCGCTGCCTTTGGGCTGCAGGACGCTAGGCAGCATTGAGCAGCAACCCGCTCTTCAGCAACATTCTCCTCCTCCAGGGGAAGCCTGCCTCCCAGGGACGGGCTGCTGCTGCACCCCTGCAGCACAAACCAGCCAAGAGGCCGCCGCCGCGGCTGGTAGGGCGGCCCTACCAACTACCAGCGTGCCGATGCCAATGCAGCGTGATGCGAGGTAATGGCAGGAACGCTGATTGTGCAGCGGCGCATATCTGTATTCCTGGGGTGCAGCCAAGTGCAGGCCAAGCTGGTGGGCAGGCGAGGCTCTTGACAGGATGCAAGGGCGCGGCGGCGGCGAAAGGCGGGACTGGCAGAAACATCTGTGTCTTCCCCGCCCCTCCCAACCCACAAACAGTTTCAGGAACGGTTAACGGCCCTCTGGAGTGCTGGGCAGGGACCCCAAATGGCGGATATCTCTGCATGCGCCGATCCTCTCTCGCCTGCTCCGCAGCGGGGTACGCTGTCATGCCAAAATGTTATGCCCGGTACGACACAGGCGACATCACCCAAAGAGAGGGGTCCTATAGAGGCTGGAAAGCTGCAGCGTGGTTTGCTGGAGGTGGTGGGGGTGGAAAGTGGGGAGCCCTAAATCGGCCTCCCCGCAGCGCCCGGGCACACAACTGAGCCATGCAGACGCGCCGCAGACGACGGGGGGGGAGGAACAGGCCAGCCGGGTGTTGCCCGTGGCGCCCCCCTCCTCCTACTCGTGCTCGCGCTCCTTGCGGGCCCCTCTGGGGGCCAAGGAGAGGATGCGCTGTCGGAGCTGGAGGTGAGGAGCGGCGGAGGGCGCGGGGCCGCCAACATGGCATATGGCGGCCGTCCGGCGGCGCTCCGACGGGGGGGCGTTGGGGCTGTGTGCACAACGGCCCAGGCGCCAGCAGACCGTCTAGTGGCCGCTGGGATGCTGTGGGGCCTGGAATGCATGCAAATTGCAGGGCTCAGGCGACCCACATGCCGCTCGCCACTTTCCCCCTTGCAGGATGTGCTGCTCCCGCAGCTCCCGTCACTGCCCCCCCATAGAAGCCTCCGCGGCAGCGACGCCCGGTCGGGCGTGGGCCTGCCCGCACCCCTGCGCCGCCTGCTGGAGGCGCAAGACAGCAGCGGCGGCGTCCCGGCGCCCACGCCGGCGCCCGCAGACGCGCCGGCGCAGGCCCCCGCGCCAGCGCAGCAGCCGCAGCAGAGCCAGGTGCCGGTCATCCTGGCCATAGCTCCCAACCAGCCAGTGGTGGCAGTGAATGCCAGCTCGGGGGGAATCATAGAGGCATCGGCCATCAACACCACGCGGTGCATACGCTACGCAGCCGGCTTCAACTCCAGCAACAGCAGCATGTACGACGCGGGCGGCGCCGTGCCCACGCGCCCGCCGCTCGACCTCAGCGGCTGCCTGGCCTCCAACACGGTGGTGGCCTCGGCCAGCCAGACCTTTGTAGTGCAGGTGAGCGGCGGCGCTGCGTGCCATGCCGGCTGCCGAAGCTTTTCTTTTTCGGGACCATGCGGGGGGAGCAGCGGGGTGCTGGGCTGGGCTGGGTGTGGAGGAGCAGCCAGGCGGAGCAGCCCTGGCAGCCAGGCAGCCACGCTGGCCGCCTCCGCGGGACGAGCGCCAGTGCTGTGCGCCATTTTCCACACGGCAGCCAGCAGCGGTCCCGGGCCCAGGCTGCCAGGCTGCCTGTTTGTCGGCGGCGGCCACGCGCCCTACGCCCACGCCCGCTGCCGCCGCCCGCGCGGCCCTTCGGGCCCTTGTGCAGGTCAAGGTGAACGCGCTGGTGGGCAGCATGTCGGCCGGCGACCTGCAGGTCAGCGGCGGCACGGTGGTGGGCGTGGGGCCGCCCTACATCCAGGGTGCCTTCCAGACCTTTGACGCCACGGTGCAGTTGGCTGAGGCCAACACGCAGTGCCGGCTCTACGTGCTGCCGGGGGCCTTCACGGGTGGGTGGTGGTACCGCGGCGGGGACGCACGAATGGGGCCCTGTGGCAGCCCTGCTGCAGCCCTGCTGCGGCCCTGTGCAGGCGGCGCACGCAGCGCGGCACGCATCCGGGAGCGCTGCTCCAGCTGCGCCAGCTCCCGCAGTTTCTGTGTTGGCAGGAGGGGGGCATCTTGCCCGCCGGGGGCGGCAGCTCGCTCACGCGCGCACACCCCCGCCTCGCCGGCATGCGCCTTGTGCTGCAGACCGTGCGGGGGAGCCCAGCGAGGGAAGCAACTCGCTGGTGGCGATCTGGGACACGCAGCCGCCGCAGCCCACCATCACCACCAGCGGCGGCGGCAAGTTCCTGACCACCGACCAAACCAAGATACCGTTGCTGGTCGACTTTGGGGAGCGCGTGCTGCAGCTCAACCCGCTGAAGCTGGTCAAAGTCACGGGGTTTGCCAGGTGTGCCCCGGGGGCTGGCGGGCCCGAGCGCGTGAGCAGGCCGGGCGCGCCGATGCCGGCGCGCACTCGCCTGGCTGCCGCTGGCAACGGCGCGCACTCGCCTGGCCGCACGCTGGCGGCGGCGCCGGGCTGGGCTGGGCTGGGCTGAGCAGGCGCGTGTGCTTTCCTCCTGCCCACCGCCATCGGTGCAGGATGGATGTGATGTATGATGTGCTAGCTGGAGAGATTGTGGTGATTGGAACCATCGTCGACCCCGCCAACGCCACCACCGTTGTCGGTGCGCCAGGCAGCCGCTGGCTGCTGCGCCCGCGGCGGCTGCTGCGCCCGCGGCCGCTTCTGGATGCCCGCCGCGCGAGCCTCTCCCCTCCCTCCCTGCGTTCCTTGGCAGCGCCGCTGCTGGGAGTGCTTTCCATGGCAGTGCTTGGGCTTGACCCGCCCACGGGGCCGCCCGCCATGCCCTGCTGCAGTTGAGGTGCCTGCGGGGGTTACGACAGACATGATGGGAAACCCCAACCTAGGTGGGCTGAGAACGCTTTGGCGGGGCGACGCTCCCATTGCAGGGGCGCCGCGCCTTGCCTTTGGCGCTGCCCCGCCCCTGCTCCTTGTATCAGCCTGTGATTGGTGCACAGCTGGGCTGCCGGGCATGCCTTTGTGCGCGTGGCAGCGTGCATGCTGGACATACGCCGTTTTGACCGCCCTGGTTCCTGGTTGTGTGTGTGCAGCTGCCAGCCTCACCATTGGTTACATGCCTGTGAGCAACGCGTCTGCCGCGCTGGGAAGCGCCATGGCGTGAGTGCCTGCCTGCGCGCCCGCCCGCCTGCCTGCCCGCTTGCCTGCCCGCCTGCCTGGACGTCTCGGCTTGCCAAACCTTGGGTGAGAGCCCATGGGGCGCCCCCGCAACGTCGGTTTGATGGTCTCCCCAGCCCCAGCGCGTGCTGCCGACCACTCCTTGCCCTGCCATCCCTGCCCGTCCCTGCAGGTCCATGTTCGCGGTGGGCGGCAGCGCCTTCATCGGCGGCTCCCTGGTGGTCAACTCTCTGGTCCCGGGGGCAGTGTGTGAGTGCGCTGCTGCCCGCGCTGCCTGCCGTGGCAGCCCTAGCTGCCTGGCTGCCGCGTGTGTTGTCTGCCCGTAACATAGTCACCTGCAGCGGCTGTGCACTGGGGCCGCGCCGCAGCCGGTGCCCGACTGCCTTCTGCTCACCCTGCCGTCCCCTTGCGTCCTGCGCAGTCCCCACCGGCAACAACCTGGGAGCCATGGCAACCAAGGTCCAGTTCATCATGCTGGTGAGCGGCAGGCCCCTCGCTGCACAACTGCATGCCTGCACCTATGCCCTGCCGCTCCCTACCGAGCTCTTGGCGGCGTGTGCTTGTGGATTAGTGCTGCCGAGCGGAGCACCGCACGGTCTCTGCGGCGCCGCTGTGCTGCAATCAATGCTGACGGTGCTGTTGTTGCGCTGCAGTTTGGCAACCTGGCCATCCCCACCCTGCCTCCCAACTACCGCGCCGCCGCCGCGCAGCTCAGCTTCATCTCAATGGACTGGGCGTGAGTGGACCCCTGCTGCTGCTGCTGCTGCTGCTGCTGCTGCTGCTGCTGCTGCTGCTGCCGTGTGCTTTCCAGCAGCACGCCCTCCCCTCGCCGGCTCCCGACCCAGGCGCCTGTGCCGCCTGCTGCACCCGCGCCAGCGGCCGCGCCCCTCCCCTCGCCTGCCCGCCGCTGCTGTGCCCCGTGCTCGTGCTGCGCCGACCGCCGGCTGGGCGACCTCCTGCCGCTGCCTGCAGCTCGCCTGTGTCGTCTGGCAGCGGCGGCGGCGGCGAGGTGAAGACGGAGGAGGAGCTGGAGAATGAGGCGGCGCTGGCGGCCCTGATGAGCGGTGCGCTGCCGCCACGCCACGCCGCTGCCGGGCCCCGCCCCGTCGCCCATCTTGCACCTGCCCCGCCTCTCCATGCCCCGGCTGCGCCGCAGCAGCTCGCCGTGCTGTGTGCCTGCATGGCCGCGGCGACTGCCAAGCACCCCCTGACCGCGCTCTTGCCATTTGCTGCCCTCCCCGTGCCGCCGCGTGCAGGCGACATCTTCTTTACGCCCGTGCCGCTGGGGGTGCTGATCATGCCGGACGGCGACGTCATCCTGTTTGAGGTGCCAGAGGACGGCGGCGGCGTGGGCGGCCTGGGCACCTCCCCGCTGGCAGGTGCGGCGGCGGGCGGTGCTGCTCGTGCCAGGCCGGCTGCAAGAGAGGAGTGCATGCGCCGCCTGTGTGTGTGTGTGTGTGTGGTGCTGGCACTGGCTGGTGCCTGTGCCTGCTGCGCAGGCCGGTGCGGTGGGGGCAGGAGGGAGGCGCATGGGCTACGCCTGCTTCGCCCGGCTGCTGAAGCGCCGCCGCCGCGCGCGATGGCTGCGCTGCCCGCCTGCAGGCTCGCAGCTGGCCGGCGCTGAGGGGCTCAAGGACTCGGCCGATGGGGGCGAGCTCCCCGGCAACTCTACAGGCGACAACTCCACAGCCACCAACTCGACCTCGCCGCCAGAGCCGGATGCACCTCCCTCGCCGCCGGATGCCGTGCTGCCTCCCGAGCCCCCCGCCGCGGCCGCGCCGCCCCAGGCGCCGACGGGCACGCCGGCGGGGGCCCCATCCTTGGCGCCTGGCGCGGGCGAGCCGCCGGCCCCCGGCGCCGCCCCGGGGGCGGCGCCCGAGGGAGCGCAGGCCGAGTCGCCGCTTACGGCGCCCAGCCCTTCGCCAAGCGCGTTGCCTTCGCCCAGCCCCTCGCCGTCGCCAGGCCTGTCCCCGGAACTGTCCCCTCTGCCGAGCCCCGAGCTGAGTCCCACGCTGAGCCCCACCCTGTCGCCGACCCTGTCCCCCTCGCTGAGCCCGACGCTGAGCCCAAGCCTGTCACCTGCCTTGTCCCCAAGCCTGTCTCCCTCGCTCAGCCCAAGCCTGTCACCTGCCTTGTCCCCAAGCCTGTCTCCCTCGCTCAGCCCAAGCCTCTCTCCGACATTGTCCCCGTCGCTCAGCCCCTCCCTCAGCCCCTCCCTCAGCCCCTCCCTCTCCCCCGAACTGTCCCCGAGCCCCAACGCCATCCCCAGCCCTGACACCTCCCCCTCTCCACCACCCCCTCCACCCGAGGACTCACCTCCGCCGCCTCCTCCAGATGAGTCACCACCACCGCCTCCTCCGCCAGATGAATCACCACCACCACCACCTCCGCCAGATGAATCGCCGCCACCGCCACCTCCTCCGGACTCGCCACCACCGCCCCCTCCGCCAGAGGACTCGCCGCCGCCGCCGCCTCCACCAGACTCGCCGCCTCCCCCTCCACCTGACTCGCTGCCACCCAGCCCTTCCCCACCACCGCCACCGCCCCTTCCTGGTGCGTGCCGCAGACTTTACAGCACCCCGCGCCACAG